GCTTGGGGCTGGCAATAGGAGTCCAGTGACCCCCCCACCCCCCCAGCTAGTTTAACAAGCTTTCTACCAAATATCATTAAAAATTAATGCAACACAAGGATGCAGTCTACATTAATACAAGAAAGCTAAATAATGGCTTACAATCTGTTGGAGCTGCATGTGGGGAGAAGGGAGACTAAAGGCATGTTTAGAGAGACTTCTTTTCAGATGGGCAGTTTCAATCATTTGTCTTCTTACCATAATTGAAAATAATGTTGTGTTGACAGGACACTGCAAGTTGAAAAATGCTGACAACAATAAAATATGTTGAAGAATGGCAAATCACTTCTAATTAAATATCAGTCTCTGTGTTACATTTACTGCAGTTATTGTTATCACAAGGATCTCCGACTATGGCTGCTCCAGTTGTATATTACACAGAGGGAACAAGACAGAGAGAGAGAGAGATTTGAGCTATAGTAACAGTGTCTTGTTTATATTTGGAGCCATAGGTGGTGCCGAGAGTGATACTAAACACAGCGCAGCGGGGGCTTCATCTGGAGGCAATTCACATTTATTGAACCCTCCGAGACCTGACTTGATATTGTTACATCAGCATAGCCTGTACAGTTTTTCCATGATGCATAAGGTAAATGTTACCATTAATCTGTGTATGTGAATTTATTAGTAGGCAGAGGTTTGAAATACACATATACATCTGTTTTGTTTTTATTTCTAATCTGGTTTTTAACTGTAAGCTGCTGGTTTAGTGAAGACTCCACTAATACTTTGAAGCCAGTATAACTGTTTCTGGAAATTTCAGTATTTTTCTTTGTCAGTTGCACTTTGACATAAACCCTACAGTTCGCTTTAGATTTTTAGTCTCAACACTTTAGGGTTACACTTTTGATTTGCAAACTTATCACCGGGCTTGATTTTTTTAAATCCTTGCATGGATAAAGGTGTAACAGGTACGTATTTGTTAGCCCTGGCCAAGCTGTGATGTTAGGTATCCAGCCCAGTCATGGTGAGGTCATCAGAACTGGAATGTTGTTGCAGTTCATCATTTCTTTGTTCCATCAATTTAATCCTCTGGCCCCTTTGCTTAATGTGGCCTTAAGTGCACAGACTGCCTCCATTAGGTTCATGAAGTTAACTTGCTGCTTTACAACTTTACTGTTTTCTTCTAACATAAAGTTGAGAATTTTTTCTCAACTTGACTCACTTGACTTTTTTTTAAGTCAGTGACAAAAAAAACAAACAAACAAAAAATGAAAAAAGGTTCATGAAAAAAACCCTTTGCTGTCAGAGGTGTAACACAATGTGTCAGCAAACCCACATCTGTAACCACGAGCCAAAGTATGAGATCTTAACTCCGGTTTCTGGGATGTTTTCTATGATTCATGGCCTTTTTTGGTGACAGGAAGCGAGCTGTGTTGCGGATGTTTAGCGGTTCAGTGTTTAGAAAGTCTTGCAGTTGACTTGACATTTATTTCATATATTTAAAAATAAATGTCAAACTGAATGAAGGCACAGGACTATAAACTGTGCTGGTGAACTCCATTTGATCCTTCATTAGATCATCAGGTACACAGATCTTGCTTTAGCCTGCAGGTGGAGGGAGCTCTCTGTGGTGCTGAAATATAGTACCGTTGAGTTGTAACTATTCCAGAAAAGATAACCAGAGCTAACAGGATGGCGCATTTATGAGATAACACATGTTTCTGTCACAGCAGCACAAAACAAGCAAGCCGGGGGGACAGGAGAAGGGTAAAATGGGTGGATGGGTTTGGCAGCAGGATCACAGGGACAGGCAAAAGGCAAAGTCCATAAACAGATAGGGAATTAAAACTGGGCAGATGAGCACACAAATGACTGGAAAGCTCCAGTGGAAATACAGCTGGATAGACAATCTGGTTTAAATGAATGAAACCAGTATAAACACTGAGGGAGTTAAAGGAATCGATGGATAGATGTGGGGAACCAGGTGAGCACAAAATGACACATGAAAGGCAAAATCAGGCATGAATGAAATAATGAAGAGAAGGAATGTCACAGAAACAGTGTGATGCTGCATGAAGTCAGTGATTCAGTGCTGTTTGAGAACTGGTAGCATTGAGTATAGGGCAGTACTTATAATATGCCACAAGTCTATGCCACCCTATTAGAGCACTTCGCTCTCGCTCTGCAGGCCTACTTGTTGTTCCTCGAGTATTTAAAAGTAGAATGGGAGGGAGAGCCTTCAGTTTTCAGGCCCCTCTTCTGTAGAACCAGCTTCCAGTTTGGAT